TTTGCTACTTTTTTTTTGCAATCTTGTTATAATTTGTAAAAAAAAAAAAATAATAATCTGTATGCCTCTTTTATAACTGTCTATTGTTGTCGCTGTTGTCCATTGTTTTCATCATTCTTTGTTGAAATCAGGTCTCTCTTGTAAAAGAGTCCTCGAGGCTCAATGGTATTAAGCTGTCTAAATAAAGGTTGAATGCATGTAATAAATGGAAGGAGTTGCAACAACCATGTTCCAACAGATAGGTCATCGACCACCTGCTGCAGTAAAAAAACGTTTATTATAAAATATTCAATTAAATTATTGTAAAATAACTAAAGTTTGACTTGTTTCAAATGGTAGAAGACTCCTCTTAGATGGACAACAAAAAGGTTCAATCGTGTCATCTGGACCAGTTTCTTTAAGTGAGAAAAGTTTAGTCCCCCATCCAGAAGACTTCCTCAGTCTACAGCCTGCCAAACAGAGCTGTCCCATTACAGCAGTGAAGGCTACCTATGGAACAGATCTAGTTGGCAGGCCGTAGACTGAAGTCCTCTGGATGGGGGACAAAACGTTTCTCACTTAAGAAACTGATCTAGATGACACGATTTAACGGTTTTTGTTATCTACCTGGATGATTGAGCTTTCAAACCTTCCTCTTAGATGAGTTATCTTCAGAGAAACGGTTAAACTAACTCATCTTTAAGTTTCTGATTATCCAAAATAATTTCACTCTGAACGCTATCTAAAGCAAGTACGACATATACAGTATTACTCATAAATACTCTATACAACCTCACTGTTAACAACAGAGCAATCTATTTAAAACTAAATTAAGGTAAACACTAATGGTGTCAGCTGATGACTATGACTGTCCACGACTACAAAACATGCAGTTTCGATTCACAACAAATTAAGTTGGATAAAATACTCTCTGATGCACATTGATGTTGTGTCTTTATGACTTTTAAATAAGATTTTCTTTCCTTTCTCAAACATGTTCACAAGTAGCTCACCAATGGTGGGTGCTTTCATGTGGCTGTTGCCAGAAAAGCTTAAACCAAAAAGCCAAAATCCCACATTAAGCTTCTGCTCTCTGTTTCTGTTCAGTTTGTTTTCCTTAAATCATCACAAACTGTATCCAGTATTACACTCAGCTCCAAATTTGGCAAAATTATAGCTTGAACCTCTGTTTGAACTTCATTCACCTGGACTCCTCATACGTCAAGCACATGTAAAACACAGAGCCACAAGGTGCAGGAACATATACAGTCAGAGGAGCAAACATAAAAGGGATCCAAATGGATCAAAAATGGGATATATTACAGGATGAGATGATGCTCAGCATCATTACATTAAGTATTCACATAAGGATGCCATTATTGTACCTCACCATGCATGTAGAACAGTCCAATAAAGGTTTAAGTTTAATTTACTTTCATTATTAGGCTTTCTCCTTCGTGCGCTTCATTCTCTTTCATGGTTTGAGCTGAAAATTAAAGTGTGAAGCTTCAGGTTTATAGACCCTTTTCTGGGAAGCAAGTAGAGAAAAACAAACAAACGAATGACCAACAGCCACGTTTCAAATGCTCTTTTAGTTTCTGCTGTCTCAAATCAAAACAGATTTTACTTAAAAAAAAAAAAAGAAACAGAATGAGACATTACTATACAAAAATCCACAGGAGCTAGCAGGAAGGTGCATCAACAGAAACAAATGGTAACAACACATCAAATATACAGACAAAACAGGCTGAAAAAGATACACACATATCACTTTGTGGTGTGATGAGGAGCTCATCTCTAACCTTATGAACCAGGCTGATTTACTCCAAGTTAGAATAATAAATATCACAAAGCTGAAACGTGATGGGGAACACTTTAACACAAAGAGCATATCACAAATTACCATTTTGCAAAGTGAAGTTGCTAAAATCTCACAGGTTGAAGTCCGCCAGATGTGAGTCCTGTTTTCCATTCCCTCCAGGTCCATCTTTGTGTGACAAAAGCTCCTTTAGTATACCCTGGGCCTGGTTTACAAACTGTAGCCAGATGTTATTAGCAGCTGGAGCTGCAGAACCAGCCTTCACACAGTCAGCTTATGGTCCATGGTTGGAGAAACATGCATGTTTTGTACAAAGTCTTCTGTTCAGTCCTTTACAAAGAGTCGCTCATCACTTGTTCTTAACCACAATGATTTTTTTTAAATGTGTTCTGATATTTTACAATGCTGGGTGAAAGTTAAACATCACAACCAAAGTCAAAGTTAAAACTCATTATGTCTTTAAGAGACGCATGGCTTAAAAACAGAGTTTCTACAGGCTAGAAAAAGGATTTACTGATATATATTATGAGTGACTAATACATTTTAAAATAAATTTTATTGTGAATGTCAATCAGTTTGCTTTTTGTACTGTATTTTTCAGACTATAAGGCACACTTAAAATCCTTCAATTTTCTCAAATCGACAGTGAGCCTTATAATCCGGTGCACTTTATGTATTATTTCTGGTTGTGCTTACTGACATTGAACTGATGTTATGTGGTTATTGTGAATGAGTTGAATAAAGTTTGACTTATCTGCGTTGTTGCGCTTAATGCGTCTTGTAATCCGGTGCAACTTATAGTCCAAAAAAAATACAGTAATGTAAATCAATTTTCAAGTAAACCTTAGCATGTCTGTTCAATGTGGCAGTGGAGAACTCCTGACCAACACTTAAAATAGGAAGGAGCGCTTTGTTTCGTTTCACTTTGTTCCCATGTGGCAACAAGCTGCAGCTGCTGAACCTTTTGGGTTAACGTTCCAAAACCAAACACTGAGGTGAACACAATGATGTGTCCGCTGCGACACAGAGCACCGAGGTTCTGGGAAAGATAATCTGCAACCCCATCAAAGGCATCGTTACACTTTTTCTCTGCCTTTCTTCTTTGTGGTTGTGGCCAGTCATTTTGTGGTGAAACCCCACCTATTTGTAGAAACTGGCAGAGCCCTCTGCTGATGAAACGTGCTCTGTGTGGTGCATGTTGTATCTAACCGGGGAAGTTTAAAAGTCTTCAGTGTGAATGATTTACGCTGGCCTAATGAGTTTTTGTAAATAATCTTGTGTAAACCACTACCTGGATAGCCATAACTTGTTTTTTAATGCTTTAATCCCTTAATTGTCAAGAACTGCTGACGGTTTTCTAAACCATTTCATTCCATGACAGATTTATTGACATATTTTTGCTTGGTTGCACATCTGATATTTAACAGTTACCGTACTTTCTGCCGTACACGTCGCACCAGTCCAAATATGTCTAATAAAATGGAAAAAACATAAATAAGTCGCTTCGCCATATAATTCGCATCTATTATGCGTCAACGCTGACCACCCGAAAACGTGGGCCGGTGTTGTGCCAAAAATCGATTGGCTGCCAAATGGCGGCAGCAGGAGCTTGCACGGGAGGACTTTAACAAGATTAACACTTAAAAACAATTATTTGTTTGCTCGACATAGCAAAGTGTGTCTCAGTTTTACTTTTCCTTACTAAATGCACTTCAAAGGTCAAATCAGCTGCATTTCGCCAGGGCGGCGTGGCAAAATGCAGCTGATTTGACGTTTGCTCCTGGAGTTCCGGGGCAAGACAAAGGTGGTTTATAAGGTAAGCAAAGTGTTTCGTTAATAGACACTTTTACCTATTAATGAGACACTTGGCTTGCCATAATGTTAGAGGGTGCTCTAGCGACCGCAAATGGTAGTGTTCATATTTTTCATGTCAGAATGAATGAAATAGTCAGATCTCAGCCAAAAATTGGGCTATAAATATGGAAAAAAACGTATATTAGTCACTTCCTTGTATAAGTTGTAGGGCATGCTAATTTATGAAAAAAGGTGTGACCTATATGGCAAAAAGAACAGTAGTTAACGAAGAACATCCTATTTCTACTCTGCAGTTTTGTCTTAGTTATTTATTTTTTTCCAATAAATCTCATCAATAAAATGCTTTTATACCAATGAGCACCAAGTCTCAAATTTCTGAGAATAAAGTGGTCTTGAAGTTTGAGCACATCACAGAAAATAGTTTGGAGAATGCTTCTTTAAACCACAGCATTTTTAAAATTTCAACCACTGAAACAAACAGAAACCTGTTTTTGCCTTGAAAGCAAACACTGTAAGCGTGATTGTAACCAGTTGAAAAACAGCCACCAATGTATAACCCTAACCCTAACCCTCAAGGCTGAATAAAGCACTTCAGAAGAACTGAAACAGATTTTCAAAGGTTGGATTTTGCGTTTTGGATGAATATTTTCTGCCAAAACTCCACATGCAGGATCTCCTCTCAAAAGTCCTTGTCACAACGCAGTTGCTCGTAATGACTGATCCGGGCATGCCATTCGTTCTTCAATCAGCATGCTATGAAACCTTAAGCTATTCTACTTTTGCTATTTTGTTCACAAAGTCATTTGTCCAAGAGAAACAACTCCCTGGTCTTCAAGTCCTTCTGTACATCAGAAGATGATTACGTGTAGCTTAGCTTGAATGTTTGCCACTAAAATGAGACGATGCCTTTTACGTTGGTAGATAAGTGCATGCACACAACAGTCTCTGTACATAAAATATGCATGTGTCTTGAAGTATAAGTTAGGTGTCTGCACGTGTGCATGTGTTTGTGTGTATGATACAGAAAATGTGTGCGTTTAAGTCACTGAGGATCTGCGTTCAAGCGCTCCTCGGCGCCCTCTGTTGTGGCTTGCTCCTGCTCTTTCGCCCCACAGTGCGTCCGCCTCCACCTCCTCCTCCTCTTCCTCCCCCATGCTTGTGCTTATCTCCCCTCTCTTTCTCCTTGTGTGGCGCCACCATAAAGTCATTGTGGTGACGTTGGTTGCGAGGAGGGCGGTATCCCAGGGCTTTGCAGTGCTGGCCCAGGTTTCCTGGGTGGATCAGCGCCATCACGTCCTCGTACCAGGGCTGGGTTCCTGTGCTTTGATAAGACGATGCAGCCAAGGTAGAAAGGACTCGATTAGCGGAGGTGCTCCAAACAGCCAGGCGGACGGTTACTGCTGTCCAGTGATAGCCGTGTTCCTCCACCTGACAGTGGTAGATACCACCGTGAGAGAGCTCGGCTCGCCGGATCAGGACGCCTCGCTCGATCACCACCAGCTGGTCACCTGTAATTACCTGGACAGACATTAGCAGTTAGATTAATGACAGCTGACTTCAACATTTCTGATAACAAATATAGAAAATATTACCATACATTTTGGAAATGCGCGGTAAATAAAAGCATAAGAGTAAAATGTAGGCATGTACCTGGTTTAATTCAGCACTATTCTCTCCAGCTTGTTTATACCAGGTAACCGCAGCATGCCTGGATCGAGGCAAACACTCCAGGTAGGTGCTGTTACCCTCGGCAACCATCATCACCCTCTGCTCCGCCTCTACCTGCAACCCAGCTAAGGAAATTACAAATAAACAAAAAGACATAAGATAAGTTAATCGTGAAAAAAAAGGAAATAAATGGTGGGCTTTCCAAGAAATTTATATGTCAACCCATAAAGCATCCGTATGCATTAATATCTCTAACAACTTTACTGCAGTTCAAACATTGTTAAATTGTTAAACAGACCAGAGAGTTAGCTCCTCACCTCCCTGTCGGACACATTGAGTTAGTGGATCCTCATCCTCCCCTAAATGACGAGCATTTCTCCTGCAGAGGAACAGATTTTACAGTTGGATTCTATTTTTGAGCAAACACACGATGATGAAAGAGTGCAGAAAACTCATGGTGATGAATTTATTTTACAAAGTCAGCTTATAATTTAAAGTTAGTCCTTATGGTGGCACTAGAGAAAAGTTCATGTGGCGTTCAGAACTGATCGAATGAATCTGCTCATGGTTTCATTACAAAATACGTCAGAGCGTCACCACAAATATAAAATTCAGGCCAGTCAGGCTAATGCTTTCTAGGGAAACCACATTGTTAATTATGTTGAAAAAGCTTTAAATTTAATTAGAGATGCAATTTGAGACCTGATTTGAGCCAGATGTTAAACTATTAACACACATGCTTTAAATTTGGTTGTAATGAGTGATTCATAACGTATAACTTGTAGGAAAGCCATCTGAGATACTGAAATTATATTAGGGCTCTCTGTAAAAATATCCTATTTTTTCCTGCCTACCGTCGCACAGTGGGCATGTAGGGGCTGCAGGCGTGTCCATCCCAGGTGCAGTAGGGATCCCGTGCCAAGCAGCATTCAGCGCAGGCCTGACCGTACAGCTCACACTGGTAAAGAGCCAGCTGGGACACACCCTCCCTGGAGCCTACTAACAGCCACTGTAGGAGGAGGAGGAGAAGGGAGGAGTGGGCGAGAGATAGAAATATAGAAAGTGAGGTGAACACAAAGGATGAGAGGGGAGGAAAGATGTAGAAAGAATGATGGTCAAAGAGCAGGGGGAGGAAGGGGCAGTGAGCAAAGAGAGGTTTTATGTCCAGTTCTGATGAAAAACATATTCATCTTCAACAATGTGCAAAACATCCAACTCCAGCAGGGAGTCTGTGTGTTTGTGTGTGGGAGCAAAAAAATGTGTTGATGCTTGCTTTTTATATTCCAGTTATGTGTGTCTGCGTGTGTGTGTGTGTGTGTGTGTGTGTGTATGAGAGAGAGAGAGTGGTGGATTTTCTCTTTTATGGAAGCCAGACTATTTTAATAATGCAAGGTGGATGTGTCTTTGTGTGGATGTGTGTGGCATCCCTTCATTAAGGCACTGACTGAGGTGGGGTAACCATGGCAACTGGTGATGAAGACGTCATTGGAGACGCAAGGTGGAGAGAGAGGTGGTACGTGAGATGTTGCGCATGTTTGTGCATGTGCGTTTGTGTGTGTGGGTGTGTGTTCAATGGAGTTTGGAAGTTTGACACAGAGTTTCAGTGTCTCTCATGTTTTTACCTTTTTCTTTGACAGAGTCATCGTTGTCACAGGCGACTTGTGCTGAGGGAAAGAAGAGAAAACTCAGTTTATTTAGACACACAGAACCAGCTGGTGCCCTAGACAGACAGACGGAGATTGTAAAAAATTGAAACCACAATCATTTAAATATGTTTTACATTATTTAGAAAAAATAATCTAATTGAAATTAAAGTACAAACTTTACAAAAAACAAGTAGAATAAAACGAACATTCCTTAATGGAATCCATATCGCCTAACAGCTAGCACTGCTAAATTTTCTTTAAGAGCTTGGAATATGTGATGAATGAATCTAAACTACATTGACTTTTCACTTATTACCTTTAATAACCAAGTTATAGCCTTTTTATTATTGGCAATAATCGACTAATTGAGGCAGCCATCTTGAATCAGTTTGACTTCAAAATCCTTTGCAGGTTCAGTGATAATTTGAATGTTTTGTTAAAATATGGCAAGTAGGTCATGAAATGTTTTGCTAACAGACAGAGAGCATTGACTTAAACAGGTAATTCAACAGTTTTAATACAGATCTGATTGGATCTTTTAGTGCATGAGGTGTGTGTTGAAAAACGTCGCAGTTAAAACATCCATCGTAATAGTTGTGTTGGATTAGCTGTGGTGGCCATTTTGAATTGGGTTAGCTCTAAATGTCTTAATTATTTGCATATATATATATATATATATATAT